GTTGCCCCGAGCAGCTGTGGCTGCCCCATCCCTGGAGGTGTTCAAGGCCAGGTTGGACGGGGCTTGGAGCAACCTGGGCTGGTGGGAGGTGTCCCTGCCCAGGGCAGGGGGGTGGAACAAGATGCTTTTTAAAGTCCCTTCCAACTCTAACCATTCTATGATTTAATGTGGGTCAGAATTCAATGGCTGCTTTACCTGGAGTGTGCGAGAAGCAGAGCCTTGTCCTAGCACCTTCAGGCACTTTTCCACACGTTGCATTGACCATAAACAGCATTTGTCACTTTTCTCCTGAGCACTTGGATTTCAGCAATGCTTGGAAGGTTTCTGTGAGATGAGAGCAGAGGTGTGTGTGGCATAAACCCAGGGCTGCTGGTGGGCCGAGCAGAGGACAGGAGGAGCAGTGGCCCTAATGTGTGCTGATGTTTGCTGCTCGAGCTGTGGGGTGTCAAACTAACACACTGCAAATCCTGGGTGAAGCAGGTATCTGCGGCATGTTCTCTTACATGGGTATCTAAAGAAGAGAGAATGAGAAAAGACGGAATTTGTGTTAAGCAAGTTGTACCTTGGGTTATATTGTCTGGGTTTTTGATCTCAGTCCTTAGGTACAAAGAGCTGTGAAAGAGCTGGCATCTAACAGAACCTGTCGTATGGAAATTTTTCATGAGCTCTGCTGGGTTGATCTTTTAAAGATACAATATAAATGCACATATTCTCAGTACCTTTATCACCTTTAATCACCATTGTCATGTAGCGGCCTTGGGAAACCACTAACAGAGGAACGCTCCGCAGTTCCAGGACACGAGTCGTGGTGGACATTTCATTAATGTCATCTTGTGAAGTGGGTCCTTTTAACACTTGCAGCAGGGAGAAGGTGATGCTGCAGTGGGTAGACGCTCAGGGGTGCTGCCCGTGGCAGACACTGCAGGTTGCTGAGCTGCAGCATCTCTGGGCTCAGCAGCTGGCAGCCCCCAGCCCCGCGCTGGCGTGCCCATCGCATGGCTCACCCAGCGTGTGCGAGAGCAGAAACCCTGAAATAACAGCTCAGATGCACTCAGCGTTGGTCTAACCCAAGCCCTGCAAAGGCTCAAAGTGCCGTAAAACACACATTGATTTCGCTGGCAGGAACGCGAAGCTGATGGCTAGAGCTGTTCCCTCATCCCAACTTTCTTAAGAACTTCACTTGCTTTTTTGCGTCACAGTCTTGAGTTTTATTTAGTGGGCATGTAGCTGTGCCTGTGTAACACACTTTAATGATAAAAGTATTGACATCTCTGTCCCCCTGCCATGATTTTAAAGCTTGGAGTCTGTTAATCTCGCTGCAAATGTAGTTTATTTGGTGAAATGTGGTAGAGTTAGTACTAGATTTCAGCAATTTCAATGTACATTTTATTGCATCAGCAAATTAAAGTCTTGGAATAACAGGTTTTCTGTCCTTAATTAACTCTGTATTGGTGAACATGTAATAGGTAAGAACTTCAGTGCACTGACAGGTGTAGTAAGCTTAGTGGAACATCTCATTTTAGCATCACTGCACCTGTACAGTTGTCTGGGGATGCGTGGTAAATATTTAATGATTTTTCCTTTGTTTTCTGCAGATAGTGTCTGTAATAAGGCAGAGTGTCTGCAAGTAATATTGCGATGTCAAGTCACTCTGCTGCCCAAAATGTGTGTGATTTCTGCTCGTCTATAAACTAGTTAAAGTAATATTCGAGGCAATGTGGCACTCTCTTCGTGTGATGCCTCCTTCTTAATTAGATTTTTTTTCTTTCCATTTCTTAGTAAGGCATATAAATAAAAGAAACTATGGATTCTGATGTTGAAAACATTGTGCAGTCTATAAAGCACAAAAATCTATGCTTTGCTTTCTTTCTAATAAAACAGCCTCTTGTTTGCTCGTATTGACTTTCATTGTTCTCTGAAATCCATCCATCTTTGAGACTACAAGGATTGCTGATAATTATGCACTAAGGCCGTTAATGGCTAGCCTATTTCTTTCTCACTCATCAACAGAAGTGGTAAGTGCTTGGAAATCAAACTGCGTTTCAGTTCTTCAGTATGCTCTTATTAGCCTCACATGATGCCCCAAATGACAGCTGTGAGACCTCATTGCCTCTAACGAGGAGGCAGCACCCAGCTCGCAGAGAGGCAGCTGTCCCAGCCTGACGTGCCCAGTGGCAGAAAAGACGTCTGCCACTGCAGTTGGCCAAGATTATTGTAAAATCGTGGGGGGAATGGGGCTACTAGACATGAGGAGCCAATTTACCTGGTCAGGTTTAAAGGGATAGCCTTTGAGAGCGAGTAAATTCACCCTCAGTGAGCTGATGAAACAAACTGAAATATTTTTTTTTTTTTAGGGAAGACAAAGGTTATTTAACATTTTAACAAGCGGGTTATAAACATAGGGGTGGGTTTGCGAAGAAAGTCGGGCTCCTAAAGATGGAAGAATTCGGCGAGAATTTGAAACATGCCGCAGCATCTGCTTGGATGCTTGGTGCTTCCATCCCATCGCAATCCGGGCGCTTCGTCCCCTGCTGTAGTCTCTGCTGAGTGTCAGAACTCCTCCTGACGTAAATTAAGACTGCGCTGGTCCTGCAGGCAGCGGATGTCCGAGTCCTGCACGGCGCCTGCGGCCGTCGGGCTGCCCGGGGTTTGGTGTGGGACCTGGGCGGGCAGGGGAGGACAGGCAGATGGCAGGCAGGGGTGGCCTCTTGATAAAATGGGTCTGAACTCTGTGATCTCATGGCTTTCTTCCAGAAATGCTCAGTAGCGGGTTCTTTCAGGGAGGTGTGTGTTCTTGCTGTATCCTGGGTGGTTTGAAGGTTGAAGGAGGCACCCGGGGTAGCACAGGTCTGCGTGCGCTCCCGTTCGTTTGTAAGGTGAAGACAACTTCTATCCCAAAAAGCTCTGACATTTGCATCCTTCTTTTGATTTTAGGCTGGACAACAGCGTTGGTGGGAACAGGAAATTACAGTGAATGGAAATATTCAAAAGGGAGAATTAATTACCTACAACCTAACTGAGCTGATCAAGCCAGAGGCGTATGAAGTCCGTCTAACGCCCATCACCAGATTTGGGGAGGGGGACTCAACTATTCGGGTCATCAAGTATAGTGGTAAGAAGATCTTCATGTACAAGGAAATGCGTCGCGGTACATTCTGCACAATTCGGTCTGCTCTACAGGGTATGGCTGCACTGCGTCGCGCTGTGTGAACTGATTGCCAGTCCTGGAAACGATGCTGCAAGGGATGAGTGTGGGCTTCCAGGAAGGAGGGTTCTGGGTAGAAATAGGTGGAAACTAAAGTCTCCACCTCTGGGAAGTTTCACAATTAAAAAAAAAAAAAAAAAAAAAAATCTCTGAACAGCTAAAATGCAAATTCATATTGAAACTTCTGTGAAACGAAGGGAAAATATAGCACAACTTAATGTTAGCTTCATGAAATAGCTCATTCCAAGAGTTTGTTCTTACTTTGAACACTTTGAAGGGCAATGAGTTTATCTACAATACAAGTAGTAGTCTGAAGGTGTCAAATCATCGTTTTGATATCATCAGAATACCCCCAGAGTGAGCACTTTTTGAGAAGTTTTTATTTGAATGTGAATAATTCTAAAAAAAAAAAAAAAAAAGTGACTGTTTCTACTCCTGTGCAAGTGGAAAAGGGCATTTATGCATTTTACTCTAAAAGGTCATGCTGTGACAAAGATTTGTCCACCTTAATCTAACAAGAAAACTACAGTATTCTTACATCCTTCCATTCAGTCTCCCAGCATTGCCAGGAATTAGTTCCTAGAGCTCTGAAAAATCCCTCAAAATACCTTTCTTTGGGTATTTATTTAACGAATAACTGAATCACTTTTTTGTTTTTCCTCTTTAAAAATTACAATGAACGGTCAAGAGGTACCTTAGAGAGAAGGTAGCTCTACTAAAGGTGTCATTGTGTGGTTTCAATGGGAACCTGACGTGTGGAGCAGAAAGTTTTTAGAACTGAAAAAGGGACATGTGCACGAGGTGGAGGTAGTTGTAAACATGGAATCATGAAAGTATGAGTTTATCATCTGGGGACAGAATTTTTAGTAGGGCCTGTTATGATAGGACAAGGGGTAATGGCTTTAAACTAAAAGAGGGGAGATTCAGACTAGATATAAGAATAAATCTTTTACGCTGAGGGTGGTGAGACCCTGGCCCAGGTTGCCCAGAGAGGTGGGAGATGGCCCATCCCTGGAAACATTGCAGGTCAGGCTGGACGGAACTCTGAACAACCTTATCAAGTTGAGGATGTCCCTGCCCAGTGCAGGGGAGGTTGGACTAGATAGCTTCTAAAGGTCCCTTCCAACCCAACTATTCTACCATTCTGTGATTCTGTCATGAGGAACCTTGTGAATCCCACAGGACAAAAGCCAGGTGACACATAGGTCAAGTCACAGCTAGCCACATAGGTCCAGTTGCTCCAGGAGCTGGATCCAACAGTAAGTAGTGCTATAGAGATACCTAGGAGGGCCCAAAGCAGGAAATCATGTGCAGCAGAAGGCACAAAAGCAACCTACAGATCAAGAATTACTTTCAGAAATTATTATCAAATAATTTAAAGTATTGAACAAATCTGAAAAAAAATCAAATGTCTTGTTCATTGTATGTGCAAATTTTCATGATTAATGATTAGCTCAGCCCTATTCAGTCTCATCACACATTATTTTTATCACTGTATTAATATAAAGGGAAAAAATTACATAAAGAAAACTTAAACATCAATTCTAAAGAACATCGTTGCGCATTTCACTAATGCCAGATCTACCAACGACAATGATGGATGAATCTTAGGTTTTGCCTGTTACAGGAAAGTGTTTTCAAACTCTATGTTTCCCAAAGCTCACGAGAACAAAATCTCGGTTAAGAGGACTTGTTTACTAAAGGTATGAACATGCAAGTGAGGAAAAGGTGGCCATTCTGATACGATTGCTGCACAAGGAAAGACATGCACAAGGAAATGAGCCAGAGTGTTCCTGAAGGTGATCAGGAGCAGAAGCTTCATTTCTCTGCAGCAATCCCAGTCTCTCCGCGCTGGCTGTGATAGGGAGACTTGCGTCCTCACAGCCAGCTCGTTCGGGGCAGCCACTGCCCTCTTCCATGGACCTCAAAATTGCTCCCATGACTTAAATACTGACCAGTGCTCCTATAAGGAGAAAAAAAACACCACTTAGGTCACTCAGTCACTACTGCTGTTTTTCGATGGTGGTTGTACTCTGGCAAGTCTCAGGAGGTTGATTGAGGTCTTGGCTATGGCTCACAACCATGCTGAGTTTGAGGTTTTAATGAAACATTATGTGATTTACATTTCTAGCCCCTGGCTGGCAGGAAGAACGTTCCCATGCAGCATAAAAGGCGTATTTTGTCTGCTGCAAATTTTTCTGCTAGGATCTGCCGTTAGCGCAGATGTGAACAGCATCCCATTTCAAACGTGCTGATGAGGTGCCAATGCAGAATCCAGCCGCCCGGGAGAGAGGAAGCCGTTGCCTTGTGCCCCAGATGGAGGGATGCTTTTGGAGCCCAACGCAGTGCCGACAAATTCACAGCTTTGGAAATCATGAGCCAGATGCTCATATCAATAAGATAAACCTAAAGTGACTTCCCTTGGAAAAGGGATCCCAGAACCACTGAGGCTTTCTGTGCTTAAAATGCGCATTTTTATCTCAGAACTCATCCAACGACTATAGTGTCAGCAAACTATTACCAGGCTAATTTTAAGGATGTTATAGCTTCAACTGTAAAATAGTGATATCACATACATTATTACAGTGCAAATCCGATACTTATAATCTGAGATGCTGGGGTCTTAGAAAAGCAGTTAATGGGCTAGCGGGATGCACAGCAGCAGGCCTGCATCAATGTAAGAAATAATTACAAACAGTACCCAGAAAATAAAAGACATCATGCAAACAGAGAACTAAGATAATTTTTTACATTTTCCTCCCATTACATTTTTTTTTTTTTATTGTGAAACCTCAGGCAAGGAGGAAAACATTTGAATTTTCGTGTTTTCAGTGGGATTTTGTGTGTGTATGTGCCTCTGTGCATTCAGTTTTGATCAGTACTCCAGAAGCACACTGGCCTCTGGCAGTGTCAGCCCTTCTTTCTCAGCCCACCACTTTAGGAATACTCTTTTTGGAGGTCCAAATGCGTTCTTATCAACGCTTATAAATACTTAAAGGGAGGGTGCCAGATAGATGGGACCAGTCTTTTTTCAGTGGTGCCCAGTGACAGGACAAGTAGTAATGGGCACAAACTTGAGCATAGGAAGTTCCATCTGAAGCTGAGGAGGGCCTTCTCTGCTGTGAGGGCGGCAGAGCAGTGGTACAGGCTGCCCAGAGAGGTGGGGGAGTCTCCCCCTCTGGAGCCATCCCAAACCCGCCTGGACGCCGTCCTGTGCCACTGCTGGAGGTGCCCCTGCTCTGGCAGGGGGTGGACTGGGGGAGCTCCAGAGGGATCTTCCAACCCCCACCAGTCTGGGATTCTGTGACCAGGACCCAGGACCATGTCCTTTCAGGTCTTGAATATCTCCAAGGATGGAGACTTCACAATCTCTCTGGGCAACCTGTTTGGTGCTGGGGCACCCTTAGAGTAAAAAAAGTTTTTTCTTAGGTCTAAAATACACCAATATACTTTTATTGCTGGTGAAGATTCCCATTGCAAACATTTTTTTCCGTATTTTCTTAAACTTTACGCAGGCTAATAGGATTTCACCGCATTTTAAAGAAATGTAGCCAGTGTGAAAAGCAGATCAGACACGTTGTAGTTAGAGTTGCTAAAAATGGTATCGGTGTCTTTTGCCTTTAAGAAATGCATTAACTTTTACAGTTGGGTTTTATTTTTGTGCAAATCGAGGATAGATAGGCCATACACTACCTAGGTTTTACTTTGACAGCTTAAGCGTGTTTTTTGCAACAGGACAATCTTGGGTAGGTACCATGCAGAACTGATTTCTCTAGAATAGTGTGTAAGGATCAACATGACGTTTCTCGTGTGTTGGTTGTGTTTGCTGCCATACGAGAGAGGAGGTTTCTCCAGATTTCTTCCAGGGTATGAATCACGCTCTGGACATGCCCATATATCTCCAGTGGCTTCAGAGACACTCCGACGACACTCTTAGATGAGGTGTCTAACTTTTACATCACTAACATTAAGCCACGTTAATGCTACCATTTTTAGGGGGTTACACTCCTGTGCCCATGATGCAGAGCGCATCACCTTTTAAAGTAAAACCCACAACTGGAGATTAACGTGGAAATTGCTGATATTTTAAAATAACCCCTTCCAGCATGCTAGCCTGCTGGTAGCCCTCTGAATGTCCAAAATAAAGAGACTATTAAAGCCGGAAAACCTCAGTAATGAGCTCTGTAAGGTATACCCTGCCATCCCAAGCAGGAGCTGTAAATACAAAATAAAAACTCCACAGTATCCAATCCCATGAATCAAAAACTTACCCGTGCCGGAAGCGTTTCGTAGGGAAATCCTTCGCCTGCCATGAATTATTGTCTCCTCTGCACGCCGGAAGAAGAGGAGAAAAGAGCAATCATCACAGTAGGAGCGACACTGATAATTACAGCCAAACATCACTTGACAAATTCTTTGGTAGGTACATATGTTACTCTGCTAGTGAACACAGTCTGCCGCGTAAATACAAACAGGGCAATTTTAGTAGCGCTAATGAGTGTGTTGTAGGCTAATACAAACCAGATATGTCTCACAGTAACAGTTTAAATATAATCTCCATCACTTCACATAAATCTATGTCAGCTGATTTGATAGGAACCGACTGTAAAGTTCTCCCAACTACTCCAATTAAAACTTCAGCACTCCTTGCTTTAGATATGCACTTATGCTTACACATTTTTAAAGTTAACCAGTGATTAAAGAAGCAAGTTTAGCTCCCCTCTGTGGAAAAAGCCAACAACCCAACATTACTATTCTTGGTATGGAGAGTCAGCCCCTTGTCACAGCGGCAGGTAGACGATGGTGGCCAGTCGTTTTGTAGTGCGGCTTGCATATTTTCACATGAGGTTTAGACACTCCCCAGATTCTGTATGGAAGAAGAGTATATAATTGTGGTTATTATTATTACTGTTGTTATTATTATTATATTGCCAGGCCCCGGAAAAAATAAAATTGGCACCAAATAGGGCGTAAATGGTAGGATTTATAAGTTTGCACAAACATATGTTTCCAGTATTACACAATGGCATAAACAGGAAGTTAGGATAATTGCTGTTATGGGAGGAAGAAAGCCTTGTCCTTGTAGGGTACCAATATTTAACAGTGAATATTGCTTCTCCTGTGCAAACCAAGTGCTTGGACGTACAGACTTCTGATCTGGATTAAAGCTTCTAGGCGCTGGTTGTAATTACCACAAGTAACCAGTTTCCAGTGGTAGAAAACAGCTGACCATCCAGCATGCTTCTACTGACCTCTCTGCCTTTATGTTTCCCGTAGTTAAGAAAGCTTGGCTTGCAGCTGTTATTTTAAAGGAGGGACATAGTGTTGCAGTCTCTGAAGGCCACCTCACTTGCGAGCTGAACAAGTGTCTGTGTTGGGAAGGATCTGTGGGAAATTCAATGGTCTTTGCATAAATGCAGTTGCACCTAATAGAAGCAAAAAACGTTGAGCCCGTATTTTTCTGCACAAATGCAGATGACCGAAGAGTAAAATCATCCAACAGACTGAAATTCCAGCAGGTTTTATTCTCTGCTTGCTGGAGGAAAGGCAGGAAGATTAAGGGATCATCCGTCTTGGCTCTAACCAAGCTCAAACGTTTCATGACACTTTGTTCTCCTCCTGAGATTCTCCGCTGGTGAAACCTTCCTCCCAGCACGAGCCAGGGTCAGCCCAGCAGAGCAGCGATAACCCTCTGAGGTGCACAGATTTTCCAGACGTTTCAAAGTCAGCCTTGGGAATTTACTCCCCTGGTCACCCATTAATTTCCCTTTATAGCTAATTTAACTTGCTACCTGTGTGTCGTGCACGCAGCAACCTTCTCTTCCTGCCGTGAGAGCTGGAGCCATCGCACGTTGTCTTGTAGCAGCGTGCTGTATGAGAAGAGTGGGCTTTCTGGGGGTTTGTTTGCTTGCCGTGGGGTCTTTTTTCCTACTTTATGATGTTAGATGAGTTCAGCCTAACTGCTTTAATTTGTTTTTCTGCTTTTGTCAATCAGTGTGAACTGAAGCTAGCTTGGCGAGAAGCCTTTTTTTGCTCTGCTGTGAACAATCTGAATAGGATGACTCAAGGTTACACGCTGATGATAGTTTCCATAAAAGCCCGTACGTTTAGTTACAAATCAAGCATCACTAAATGTAGTCTTCAGCAATTTCAGCTAATTCCAAGTTCAGTCACTTAAGGTTTTCACAAAATGAATGTTTCTTGGAGAATGAAAGGTAATTTGTTGGTAAAAGCTATGAGGTTATCTAATATAATGTAATGACTAAGTTTCTTAAGAAGATTGCACCGGGGCAAGTCACTGTTCATTTGTTTCAGTGAAGACAAGATGAAATGGCAGCGTTGCTAATTTAAAGCCTTTTTGGAAAACTTCAGGTTGAATCTAGAGCTACGTAGAATCTGCGGCTGGGGTCACAAACCAGGAGTTCGTGTCTGTAACCGTGGCATGGGAAGGGCAGGAAGAGAACGTGCGGCAACCCTCGTTCTGAAGTCTGGCATTACCAGATGCACCCATTATTTGGAGATAAAATTTTATTTCAGATTTTCTGTTAATAACATGCAATTCCAACTCTGAGCTTATCATCCTTCTGTTTCTCACACGCGTAAGGGCTTGTAGCAGAAGGGCCCCATTTTCTAAGTCATCCATCCTCAAATTTAGCCTGCTGCAAACAGGTAGCACAGAACTGCAGAGCAATTTCTCATTCAAACCCCATTTCCCATGTTTAGCATTGTAAAGGTTACTCTGGACCTAAACCTGGGTAGCCATTCCCATGGTTAAGACAGCTGAAAATTGAGAGGCTGAGAGAGTTGGGGCTGTTCAGCCTGCAGAAGAGAAGGCTCCGCGGAGATCTTATTGCCGCCTTCCAGTGCCTAAAGGGGCTCCAGGAGAGCTGGGGAGGGACTTTTTACTGGGGCATGGAGTGAGAGGACGAGGGGGAATGGCTTTAAACTGGAAGAGGGCAGGTTTAGATTAAACATTAGGAAGTTTTTCACTCTGAGGGCGGTGAGGCACTGGCCCAGGTTGCCCAGAGAGGTTGTTGAAGCCCCATCCCTGGAGGTGTTCAAGGCCAGGCTGGAGGTGGCCGTGGGCAACCTGGGCTGGTGGGAGGTGTCCCTGCCCATGGCAGGGGGTTGGAACTCGATGATCTTCAAGGTCCTTTCCAACCTAAACCATTCTATGATTCTATGATATCTGTAGGCGTTATCAAGGTTTGACATTCATTCTGTTTCATCCTATTAAGGTGTTAAGTAGATGAACTTTGGTATGAAAGAATTATGGATGTAGAGTTTTGTATCATTTTGCCAGGGGTCTGTGAAATAAGAGTGCCAGTTTTATCAGTTTCCCCAAAGATTCCCAGTACCCAATAGTCCTCTCACGTTATTCAAGGCGTTGCACAGACGGACATAAAGAACGGACAGTAGTAATATTGTTTAGCAAAGTTATCTCAAGGTTCTCTGCAATGTTGGCAGAAATTATTTTTGATGCCTCCCAGGGTGAGGCGTCAGCATGGGCTGCTCCTGCCGTGGGGTGGGGAGCAGGCAGAGGTGGGATGCAGAGGGGTGGGATGCTGCACTGCTGCTCCTCTGTCTCTGAGAGCAGAGCTCCAGGAGAGGAGCATCTCAGACCCGACCATGCTGGTGGGTCCCTGTCCTGGACACTGAATGTGGCTTTTCCAGCAGGGTGTGCTGGCACTGCTGGCAGCTTTTTGGGACAGCACACTTCACCTTCCTTTGTCATCTTCGTAAATTTCTTTAAAATGTATCCTCCCTAGAAGAGGGTTTGTGTGCCAGAAGACTCTCAGGCATTTTCTTGGTTGTGTCTCTTGGTCTAATGAACTCAAACCTCTTCTCACAAACTTGCTGTGCTTGTGTTTACTGCTATTTAAAAGGAAAATTGGCATTTCTAAGAATAATACAAGTGCTGTATTTTTCTTAAGACTCATATGTACAGAGACATCTTAAATTGAAGAATAGTATTATTCATTGAGTAGAAGGGTAATTCATTATGATAAGTATTCTTGAACAATGCTAAAAGGACATTTTAAGTGATGAGCGAAGTCCAACGCAGAACACCTCCTTTTGATGAATTCATCCTTTCTGTAGCTTTTCTTGTGTTCCTGTACAAAGACATCACCCTGGCGTTTTGCTGTGCAGCTGTCCCCATACTTACAATATCTGTGCCAATAATCTCGGTTTGATGCTTAATTACAGCATCTTGCTGCCCCGGTGGCAGGTGCTAGTGATGGAGCATACACACTGTGGATGGGAGAGGCTATCATTTCTCACTGAAATCGTTGCCTTTATATTGCCAGGGAGCCACAGAATTTGCTCAAAAAGGAAGTTACCAGCTTTACTGGCTGTCTCGGTGTAGGAGCCATGATCAATGTCTTGAGGGGGAGGGAACAATGGGAAATTTAGGATCATCTGAATATTAATGAATTAGAGTTTCTTCTTAGTGCTAATTTTATTTTTTTGCTCTGTCTTCCAGCTCCAGTAAATCCACATCTACGTAAGTATTTCTTCATCTTTTTAGCTTTTATGTGTATGAAGAATTGTCCTTGCACGTGTTGTCCCTCACAGTTAAAAGTAAACGATAAGTATTTCACTTTCAGTTGCAGCCCATGGATTGCAGGGGGACCACCTTAGTTCTGCGTGCAAGGTGCGCTGGCGGCTGAAGGTGCCATTCCTCTTGTTCTGCCAAAGCGCTAAAGCAAGAGGAGATGGAGAAAGGAAAAATTATAGCTCCAGCTCACCTTTCTTTCCCACTGCCCGAAGAGTTCATCTAAAAGAAAATACTAATGTTCTGAAATAGTCTGTGTTTGTGGGTGCTGCATCTCAGCGTGCGTGGGTGATACTGTGGTTTAGCCATGGGAGTAGCTAAATACTGATAAACTAAATAGCTGAAAGTTCAAGTACTGTGTAGGAACTGTGTCTGCGCCTCAACAAGTACGGTTAAAATCTTGAAGGAAAAGTCAGTTTATGAAATTTTCTGAATTCATTTATCCTTGTATAGGAACTACATTTGCAGTTCTTGGGTTGATACTTCCAAGAGTAATCAGAAGCTCATCTGCAGCTTTAAAACCAAAAGATGACTGTTTTTTCATGCAGTGCGTACAGGAATCATGGACCTCATTTGCACACAGAACCGGCGGAGACCGAAAGTGTGACTGGGGTGTGAAAGTGTCTAGACAAATTCACAGGAGAGAGCTCCACAGGCGTTACTGAAAATGCAAACTCTGGCTATGTATTCGCTAATGTGCTGGCGCTCGGGCTCGGGGATGTTGCAGGGGAGAAAGGACTTCTCTTACAGGTTGTTCTTGCGCTTTTCCATGGGCACCAAATCACCAGAAATGTCACGGACAGGAGACTGGGCTGGAGCTTTAGTATGTCCCAGTAAAACCACCTTATTCCTAACAGTCCCCACATCTACTTCATGGGTTTCTTCCACACCACAGCGCATGAATGTTTTGCTGTGGGAGCATATTCTGCCGTTACTCTTGCTTTTAATAACAGATCCAAAAAATAAAGGGAATGGGATTCTGGCTTCCATTATTACTGCTGTAGCGCAGCCGTAATGGGGCAGCAGAGCAGGGCCGGGCTGTGCGGGCAGCCTCTCTCTCCCTCTCACACGGGACGGCTAAGCCCTTCTGTAAATTTTAAACTTATTTGTGGAAGATCTTGTGCAATGCATTAATAATGAATGGGGGCTTAGTTCAAAGCTCACGGGAGCTGAAGGAACCACTCCCATTGACTTAAATGAGCAGTAGATGAGACCCTTGCTAATTAATATATTAAATATGTGCTCTATGATGTTAAGAAGAAAATGCATTGCAATCCCGAGTGCTTCACACTGTAGTTCGCTGTGATTTTAAGATCTGGAACTGTCTAATTTTCAGGATGTCTCTATCGCTCAGTTAAAAGCAGCGGCTCTAGCAGGCGCGGGGTACAGTGCAGGTGGCATCCAAATTGCCCTTGCGATAGGGAGCATGCGGCGCGAGGGAGCGAGGGCATCTCTGGCAATCTCTCCACCGTTTCCCTCATCTGCCTTCTAGGTCTGCCTCCCTCTGCACTGGTGGCGATGGGAAGATTGCCTACCAGAACTGTAGGGTACCCAGTGTGATATCTTTCAGATGAGCAAAGAGATGGTAAAATTTTGCTTTGCTTTTTTTTCTCCCAAAGACTTTTTGAGTGAAATCTTTTGACAGGGAAGAAATCTTGCTCTGCAAATGGGTTCAAACCGGTAAGCTGGAGAAGGGAGATTCTGTCTTCCATAACGAATTCGGTCTCATCATTATCCATTCTTTCTACAATCTTATTGTATTTCACTGAACATGCACCATGGACGATTTGTATACTGTATAACATCAACCAAGTTCTGTTCTTTTCTATACCCGTTGGGTTGAATTCTGATTTTATTTACACCATTGCAAATGAAGAGTAAGAACTGTATTGAACTGGGACAAGACACCTGTATTGGAAACTGAAGTCACGTTCTTCCTGCTTCATTTCTGGAATAATCACATTGCATAAATCCTTCCTTTTTATAAGACGTCTGCAATGCAAGTAGCACCAAATGACTTAAACACTGAGATGTAGCCTCAGATCTACATTTTATTTTGTAGTGTATAATATAAACCATTTTATTTAAACCGTAAGGATTTCATATCAGTTAGTGCATCTAGATGTTATGCCTGCATAATGGAAGAGATTACATGTTAGGGAGTCATATTCAACTTGAATTTTATGGAAATAGATGACAATAATTCATACTACAATGAAGAGTGTTTCACCTTGAGAACAGTTTCAGATTTTGCTCTAATTGGCAATGAAATTATTAATAACCTGAATCCACTTCCAGAGCTGGCATGTGCTTTGACGAAAATTGACCACTATCTTTAGTAGTAATTGGCACCATTGTTAGTGCTTTCAGCAAACCGTAGCGGTCTGAGGGGTGTCATGAGCTGGAGCACCCATGGGTGCTTGGGGAAGGGCCGGCTGTTCCTCCTGCCCTCGGCGTGCCCCACTAACGAACAGGTCAGGATGATCCAGGCCTATTTAAATACTCCTACTTCTCACATAAGAAAAGTACTGAGCTAATCCTGGGGAACTATTTCCCATTTTTTATTCTTCTGCCATTTTTTTAAGAAGCGTTTAGTGCCAAGAATATTTAGCACTAACCTTTTCCAATGTATTCCAAATGGCAGAATCCCACATGAAACCAGTGTTTTCCTATTAAATAAATGGCAAACTTTTACTTACCTTTTTTCATCTGGCCTGAATATTTTTTTATTTTTATTTTTTAACTGGAAGAAAAATCTTTTCTTCTGCTGATGTGGAATTTCTTAACGAAGCTCTGAGGGCATGGTGCGACATGCAAATGCAGCTCTGAAGGTACTGGAGGGGCAGTGTTAGAAACTGCTGAATGGCTGAAAATGCTTTGCTTTAATTCACTTTGCTGCAGGACTGGATCTGGTACTCAGAACTTTTCTCCTTTAGTTACCATTTTGCCCTGTAATTTTATCACGCTGTGTAGAAGCAGCACCATTTTTGCTATAGGAAGGGCCTGCCTAAGTGGAGATGGAAGTCAAACGCACAGAATATAGTGTAAACCAAGCAAATTGGGAGCTCAAGCCGTATGAAAGGTATTCTTGGAGATGAGAGGCACAGCTGGTGTTTTGTTCAAACTGCTTCATTCACGTCCTTGTGTCTTTCAAGAGCTTTGTCAGGGTTTTTGCATTATCTTCCTGGTCTGCTGGATAAGGGTGGAAGCGTCCATCTGCGTCTATTCACGTGCTTCTCTGCCAAAGGATTTTGGATGTAATCGGTGCGTGTGTATTCCTTGTGGCCTTGTCTCTCAGGAAGAGCCACAATCAGGCCTCTACTTGAATTCCATCTCTGCAATGCTCGCACTGGTGCTCCTCCATTTTCTGTATTGCCACTTCTTCAACATTCAAAGTTGAGGATTCAGAAGCCCTTGCCTCCAGAGCCAAACTGAGGTGCAAGGTCCTGAAATTGGCTCCCCTTCATGCCGATGGTTATCAGTCATGTTTGCCAGTTAAGGAACAGTCATTTAGGAAATTAATTCTCTTGGAGGATCTAATAAAGTTAATGGATTTATTGAGAAGCCAAGTCAATCTACTTGAGGTGCTAGTAGCCAAGGTAGTTTCTACGGACTGCATTTTCTGGGATAACCTGGTTTTATAGAGTGGTGGTTTATGCTGGCTGTTGTGGAGGGGGTACAGTTTGTGTTGCTCTTTGGACGGGCAGAAGCAGAATGAGGAAGACTTGCAATGCAACTTGGGCATTTTTCAAGCACGATTCCTTGTGAATTTTTCAAGCCTGCTCTTTCAATCTGCAGTGTAACCTGATTTTAAATAAGCTTCAGACCGGCATCCTTGCTTAGCAGTACATATCCAAGCTAAGCTCCAGGTCCCCCTGTCTTCACTGATTCACAGCGTAGCTCCAGTGGCTTAAGTGGATTTATAGTTCACCAAAACCCCAAACCTGCAAACACTTACATACCTTCTCAGTTTAACACAGATGAATAATCCCATGACGCCTGGTGTTAGAGTTCCTCATAGCAATGAATATAAATTGCACCCCTCTAAAGGAGGCTGTAGCTGACACGGTATGCAGACAGCTGTATTCTCCCTAGAGAAGAGAGATTTGCTTGTTTTCTCAGATAAATCAATTGACTTTCCTGCAAGAGTAAACTCAGCGGGAACTGTTCATGTGCATAAAATTAAGCTTTTGCACATTTTACTACATGGGGCCTTATTATGTTCTGAGGTGAAAACTGAACCTCGGAGTTTTGATTTGTTTTGGTTCCTAAATGTCTGACAGTAGGACTTGCTCATCCCCCCATCACCTGACAGGTGGGATCACCAGACTGGTGTGTCTCACGGACCTCTGTTTTGCAAAGGAGAGGATCTCAGTAATCCTCTCTGGGGTTCTTGGCGGTTTTATTCTTTAGACCCAAGCTTTTACCACTTGACCTCAAGTACTTAACACAAATCTTAGTGAAAGTCTAGGACGTGTCTTCTGGACATGATACAGTCACCTGTGCTGCCCACATAGGTTCAGATAGACCTAAATCTTCCTCCCATTAGAGGAGGAAATGTCTAAACCTTCCTGTCAAATTGGTTATTGTAATCCAGTGATGGGGACTCAGTGTTCTTCCTAAGCAATCCATTCATGTGCTTCACTGTCCTGATTTTTAGAGATTTTCTTCATGTCTACCCTAAAGCTCCAAGCTCCTTTGCTCTCATTTTAGCCATTACTTGCTTTCCCATCCCTATTGAAAACCGAGAATAGTTTAGGAGATGTCACTTGGACATAACATTTCCATTCTGAAAAGTTACTGTTCTCCTTTCCCTCATGTTCTTATCCTTAAAAAATAACCCACTTCTCGCTTTTTTTTTCCCCTGTAGCCCATGTTTTACGGCCATGCTGCCTGTTCTCAGCTTTTTAGAAGTGCTAGCTGGGTAAGAGGAGACAATGTCTCCAAAGGCAATTGTATACATGTGAGTGTGTGAAGAGGAGCTATACAATAAGATTTGAGTATAATTTCAAGTCACACCAATACAGATTGATGACTGTGATTTTTCTTTTTTCATTGAGGTTACTGCAAAGCAAAACATACACTAAACACGAGAACCTGACGTAAAATAAATGTATGTCTATTTTCGAGTGCTATTAATAAGCATCACCCACAATGTGTTTGTTCTAATTGACAAGTACTTTGATAAACAAGCATGGGATGAATAGTTCCAGCCACTAAATTTCTGTTCATTTGCTGCGTTGGCAGGAGAGTTCCACTGTGGGTTTGAGGATGGGAACATTTGCCTTTTCACTCAAGATGACACGGACAATTTCGACTGGACAAAACAAAGCACTGCCACTAGAGACACAAAATATACCCCGAACACGGGGCCAAACGCAGATCGGACTGGCTCCAAGGAAGGTAAGCTCCAGCGGTCCTGGTCCCTCGGCACTGGGAGCTCTGCTCTTCCCTTGGGATGAGGGACCTCTCCAGGACAGCCAATTCAGCCAATTTTTCCTCATCATACCAAGAATAAGCATACTTCAAGGACTTCTAAAAGAAATTGCCAGTGCTGAGGCGTGCGGCTGGTCCCGAAGCACAACCCGCTAACGGTGCCATTAACCATCTTGTATTGTTTCTTTTGTGCCATTTTCAAAGCGACTGCTTTCGCGTTACAGTCTAGTGGGGAAATAACCTGGCAGATCTTCAAATATTCTTCTGGTTTATGTCATTTAAATTCTAACTTGGACTCTCTCAGTTTGTCACAATGAGATATTTTTTTTGCCCCATTTTTTACTTCGGGTGTTACTAAAATGCGTAATTTTCAGTCTGCTACCCTGCTCAACAGAAGCGTGCCATCTTGACTGCAGTGTATATTTGCATTTGAAAAGTCAGACATGTTGTGCTGAATTTATCAAGCGCTGCAGTAACTCATGCTATTTTATTGTATGCCCCCTGCTCACGCTACCAAAGGGGAAAAAAATCATACTGCATTGTATTTGCTTGGTTGGATTAAGTAAATACTATCTCTGTTGTTGGCACAGTCCAGGATCAGAATAAATTAATATTGTGTTCTTTCGTGAAAGTGGGCTTTCAAACATGTGATTGACATGGCCAGTTCAAAACGTTCCTTGAAAGGTTTCCATCAAAATATTCCCCCTTTATTTTAAAAGTCCTCCCTGCTGGCCGCTCATAGGAACGAATTGCAACCTTGAGACCGACGTCTGAACCCCACCATAAAGATTTTCTTCTTTTCTTGTTGCATACCCAATGTTACATCGATTTAAAGTTGTTTACGAGTACTGACCTGCTAGCCCCGATTTTACTCTTGGTAGAAAACATGTCTTTGAAGCAATTGTGGAAAACCCCTGGGCTCAGTGCAGGAGAAATATGTCTCAGAAACCACGGTGATGTCAGATGAATGTGAAAAATGAATCAAGATGCTTGATAGCCCTGGTGTTTTCCTGTATGTATATGTGTTGGATTTTGAGGACTGCAAACTAATGATTTCCATTTGGACTTTCCCTAGGGTTCTACATGTACATCGAGACGTCGCGCCCCAGGCTGGAAGGAGAAAAGGCCAGACTCGTTAGTCCTGTTTTCAGTGTCGCTCCAAAAAATCCCTATGGAGCTACGAACACAGCCTATTGTTTCAGCTTCTACTATCACATGTACGGACAGCACATAGGTGAGAGAAAGCCAACGACCTTGTCTTTTCACTTTGGGAGAAATAGCAGGAGAAATGTCCGCTTGCATGAAACAAAAGCAGGGGAGGACTGCCAACACTTGCAGGGCCACTTGCATCCAAAGCTGGCAAGAGAGGTGATCTTTAAGATCCATTCCAACCTAAATCATTCTATGATAGCGTCCTAATTGCTGTAAAACGGTGTTTTCCACTAATCAACACTCTAGCAGGAGCCCCTCTTATGGATGGGAAGTGTTTCATGCACGCGTGAGGTTCTGCGCGTGGGAACTTTAGAGTGTGGAAGCCAAAAAGGAGATATTTGCAAGGACTTTGCCCGATCCTAACAGAGTGCTTTGAGCCACTCCTGGCTGGACTCAGGATCAGGCAATGAGCAGCAGCGCTGGAGCTGGAGCGGCACAGCCTGTGTGCGACGCAGCAGCACACGGTTCCTTTGTAAAAGTCACGAACAATTCGCTCACAAGCGGTGGGAGTATATATTCTCAAGGTGTATCTGTAAAGCTATTTTTAGTCATGGTTCTCTCAACACACGTTTAATTTCTTTGAGTAGTATGAAAAAAAGGTGTGGGAAAATATAAAAGTATAAACGATAGACAGCCCCTTTTTCTAAATCCTGTAAATCCCCGTGGGGTGCTTGGTGCTTACCAGTGTGTCAAGAGGCATTCCAGTGCCAAGCTGATCTGACTTGATGTATTTTTATATATATTTCAAGGGCAAGCACATCCTCACAGTGCATTCTGGTGGTTGCTTCGGGAAAGCTTCTCCTGCCTCCAGGCGGAGTTCAGGTTTTAAACAGAGCAGACAAGTTCACTTAGTTCCGTTAGTTGTCTCTGCGCTGCCGAGCACGTGAACGCAGCCCCAGGTCTAAATTCTCCTGGCTCTGGGTTGCAGGGGGAGCTTGGCTGTTTATTGGAGGGAAGCGATCGAGCCATGCTGTGCTTAGTGAAAAAAATACGTACTGCCCTGCAAGACTATCTCTGATATATGACAGCGAAGAGCAAAGTTACGAACATAAAAGGTCAAAGAGTTTTCCTGGAATATCTGAGGGATGGAATAAAGTGTAATAAAAACAGGCACAGAGGCTGACGTCTGTCCACAGAACAGTGACCTCTCATTGGTGCAATTTTGGTGTGGTTTTGTTTTTGTTTTTTTTTTTTTTTTTCTGGGCTACCTTTTCAGCAAGCATCTCTGTCCTTAGCTTTTTTTTTTGCTGAGATTACCCTTTCTTATTTATGTGTAATTTTTGGAATTGACATGTGTAACACCAGCTGACAAAGGAGCTGACTCACAGGTGATGATGGTGACAATGATGATTAGTGATCAGAGTTACAAAGGATTTGTTCATGGCAATGTGGACACCTAGTTGTCAAGAACCAAAATTGCTCGATGCTACTTTCCTTCTTTAATGTTAAAAAACACGGTTACCATCATTTTAGCTAATATTCCAAATTATCTACTTTTGAATAGATTGGTACAAAATTACTTATTATTCTGTCTTTAAAGAGCAAATTGACAGAAAAATAGTAAATTAATAGCATCAGCCATGTGTTTGAATGCACGCTTAATACACATCTACTAAATTCAGCATTTGAATTCCTCATAATGACAAAACGTTATGAAACACATGAGAATGCAGCACGCATACAAGAAATAAATTATGAAATCAGCAAATATATACCATTTGATTGCCCAGATGTGAACCCTGTCACTGAAATTGTTCACATGAGGATAATGAAAAGAAAAGAAAACCCTAATGAGTGATAATATTCTAAGACGTCAGTGATTTAAGCGCAATTATTATATGAATAGCCATATTGATGAAGTAACTATTTGAATGACTTTTTAAAGGTTTGTGGTCTTAGAAATTACTTTGGGTAAGGAAAGGCGTTGTTGTAACACAATGATTTGCCCAGGCAAATAAAACCATACCATGACACAGCGTTTCAGATGTTGTGCCCTTGTGGTACGTGTGGCCACCGGCCTCCTGGGCTGCCTCAGGCAGAGCGTGGCCAGCAGGTCAATGGAGGGGGTCCTGCCCCTCTGCTCAGCACTGGAGGGATGCAGCTGGGGTGCCGGGTCCAGTGCTGGGCTCCCCAGTACAGGAGAGACATGGTCTTGCTGAAGAGAATCCACCTCAGGGCCACAAAGACAATGAAGGGACGGAAGTGTTTCTCATATGGGGAAAGGCTGAGAGCGCTGCGACTGCTCCGTCTGGAGAGGAGAAAGCTCGGGGGGATCTCATAGAATCGTAGAATCACAGAATCATTTAGGTTGGAATAGACCTTTAAGATCATCGATTCCAAACATTAACCTAACACTGCCAAGTCCACCACTAAACCATGTACCTCAGCACCACATCTACCTATCTTTTAAATATCTCCAGGGTTGTTGACTCCAGGACTTTCCTGGGCAGCCTATTCCAATGGTTAACACTCCTTTCCGTGAAGAATTTTTTCCTAATATCCAATCTAAACCTCCCCTGGCATAACTTTGCCATTTCCTCTTGTCCTATCACCTGTTACTCAGGAGAAGATACTGACCCCCACCTCTCTACACCCTCCTTTCAGGGAGCTGTAGAGAGCGAGAAGGTCTCCCCTCAGCCTCCTCTTCTCCAGGCTGAACACCCCCAGGTCCCTCAGCCGCTCCTCATAAGACTTGTCCTCCAGACCCCTCACCAGCTCTGTTTCCCTTCTCTGGACACGCTCCAACACGTCAATGTCTGTCTTGTAGTGAGGGGCCCAAAACTGGACACGGTATTTGAGGTGGGGCCTCACCAATCTATGTGAATACCTGAAGGGAAGATGTAAAGAAGATGGAACTCAGAGATGCTCAGGGACAGGACAAGAGGCAACAGGCAAAAATTGAAATGGAGGCAATTCTATTTAAACATAAGAAAAATTTGTTTTTGTTTTAGTATGAAGGTGATCAAACACTAGCACAGGTTGCCCAGAGAGGTTGTGGAGTCTCTGACATTGGAGCTATCCAAAATCTGATTGCATGTGATCCTGGTCAACCTGCTGTAATCTACCATGCTTTGAGCAGGGGTTTGGACAGTACGATCTCCAGAGATGCCTCCAACCTCAATAATTCTGTGTGAAATATTTAATTTTTAATATTTTTTTCAGAAGACTTCCATTTTGTTAAGGATTAATCCCCTGTGGATAATTCTAAATCTTACTGCTAAAACAGGTTGACTGTTTTGTGACAAGCTATTGGAAGCCTTGACCCTTCACTGTTGTAGAAGGTGCTTCTTATCCCCACTTGGGAATGAGTGCTGCCAGTCGGGGCAGCTCTCGGCTGTAATATGCACTGCCAGCTCACTGATTTCTTCACAAGAGCAGGGTAGGAGCTGCTAACGGAGACCTCGATACAGTCTCTGTGCTGAAGGCTCTCTCTTTTGAATAAGCTTGAGCTGCTGATTCTTGACCTGGCTTCACCAGAAATTTGAAGTGTCTTCAAAGTATCCAGCCTGTTCCTTCCCTGGGCCTGGGGACAACATGTTCAGGGAAGATACACGGCCATTAAACTTTGATTTTCCATCCAAAGTGCTGTAGCATTGTTCAGCAAACTTTGGTGCTACAACTCAGCATTTCGGCTGGGTTCCTTTATTCTCCCTAGTTATCGGTATCCATAAGATTTCCAAGCAGTATTAGGGTTATTATTCCCATGTCTCAGGGGCAAAGTACTCTTGTTTCCAAAACAGTTTCAGTGCTCATCAAAATGTTTCTGCACTTTTGACAAGGTTTTGAAGGATCCCCAAAAAACCCAGAAAATCGTCATGGAGTGATGCTCTGTGGACTGGTCTTGGAGGCTTAGAGGGAAAGATACTTCAGCTTCTATTCTTAAAAATGAGCGACCCCGGTGACATCGATTTGAGCATGTGGCTGCTGCACTATATTGAAAACAAAAAGCCTACACCAGTTTATCCAGCTCAGCTTCTGTGCCTGCGGTTCAGGTCTTTGGCGTCTCTGGAGAAGAGGCAGAAAATTTTTCTAGCGATAAGGACAGGTACTTGGGAGTTTTCGCAGAGCGCAGATCTGAGATTAGCACTTAGGCTGCGGCACAGCTCTGACGAGATAAACGGGGACCTACATCCCATGCCATGGCAGCGAGATTTAGAAAGATAAAGTGTTCCTTTACCTGAAATAGATGGCTCTTACTTACAAGTCAGATTGTAATTCCTGGCAGATCACACAGAGCTAACTCCGAGAGTGCTGGCTGCCAGGGAAACTGCACGCGCTTCGCTCCCCATCCCTCAAAAGGAGAAGGTAGATTATCCCTAAAATGTAAGAGAAATAGAAGTTCCCATTACTTGATTTGCAGCAAACAATAAGCCGTTGTTGGGGAACAAGAAAATGAAGAGTCAGTGTCCTCATTGTGTCTCTACATTGAGACAGAAAGAGGCTGTAATTCCATTATAGCTGTCACCATCTTTTAAAACAATCTATATTTCCAATTTTTCCATCTACACCCCAAAACGGGGCATGTCTAATTGACGCTCCAAGAACAATAATTTTTCTTATCGTTAGGGAGCCATCACAAAGCAAAAAATGGAAGCAAAACATGCTGTCAGTGAAGGCTGTTCGTGTTCGCACAGTGAGGAGCACTCAAAATGTCACCCCAGGGTTGCAGCAGGCGACGTCTCCGAAGCACCCTGCACTCTCTTGGCAGGATGCTGTCACAAAGTCAACTTTGCTCCTTAATTCACAGTACTTACTCCTGCCCACTGTTTCTGTCTCCTACGCAAGAGTCATTTCATTACCCATTTGTCTGGAGTTTGGAATAGTTTGAAATCTGTAGCTGAATTCTTGCTGGACATACCTCAGTGTGAACCCTACAGCCAACCCATCCTTCCTCCCCGCCCAGCATCACCTTTGCAAAGGCCATGTGGCTTTTCCAAAGCCTTACTGGCAGAATTTCAAGGATGAGCATCTGTTGCAGGTGGCATTCGTTAAGTGTTCAGCGATGTTTGGGGCATATCTAGCAATGAGGGTCAGGCAGGTACATCCGTACTAACCAAGCTGGGCAACGACTGAGCACATCTGGTACCGTAACAGCTATTTTGTATTTTAAGTAAGACTGCTATCATTCTGCTATCAATTTGAAGAAATTATGTGACACACAGAGGCTGAGTATGCCATGAACAGTCTTAAATCTCTGTAAGCTCAGCAGTGATGAAATTACATGCTTTTGATACCTAAATCACTCAGTTATTCCAAAGAGCCCTGCGGCATGGGCTGTATCAGCCTGCACAAACAGGTGAAACAATTAGCCGACAATTCATCCCTTGCTTGATATGGGCATTGCTTTTTGTCTTTTAGGAAAAATAACATTATATATAACTGTATTTTATAACTTTAGCCAATCTTGTCTAAGACCCAGCCTTTTTTTCAGACAATACACCCAGTGCAGGTGTTGAAAAAAAAAAGCCTTGGTGAGAAGCAGATGGGAAGGAAGGGAGAACTCTTTAAGCCGAATAATATAAACCTTGCCCAAGAGCTGCTGTTGTTGATGGAAGAGGGCTGAGGCTGAGCAGCTGCTGGATGTGAGCAGACCTGCGATGTATTACTGGGCTGGGGCTCCGGGGAGCATCTCCCTTCTTGCGAGCCCTTTCTCGTTCAGGTCCTTTCGTTTCACCCAGTAGCACACGTGCGGGCAGAGACAGACTATCCTTGTTAAAAGTCGTGTTTCCTTTGTGCTGCTCCCGCGCCCTCCCCTGCGTTTGCGAAATAAAAGGCTGCAGTGGGAGGCAGGTGGGAGACACAGTGCCGCCCGGTCGCTCCGGCGAGCATCGCTTCCCCCACCTCCTTCAAAGAAGATGTATGGGCTCATTCCGGGCACCCTGGTGAAATAGCCGTGATGAGAATATTTGCTGCTCCATTACGCGTTTCCCCTTATGTTTTTCAAGGCACTGAGTTTCGCTATTGGTAGAAATAAGAACTTTTTATTAGCAGGAGCTGAGTCACTGTGCAGCTGCCTCAGATCTGAGAGGTTTCATTGCAAATATAATTTGTATGAGCTTCCCAGCTGCCATTCCAAGCTCTCAAAAAAAAGGGGTCTTGCGTGAACTTGACTGTCTGAACTTTCTCCAATGAAGGCAAATGCACTGATTTACATAGTACAAAGAGGCACCGCTGCCCGCCACCTCTGCAGATAACAGTGGTGAGCAAGAAGCAACAAAATCTCCAAACTACGTGAATTACTGAACCCTGCTAAGTGAAGTCGATGCATTTGCTGTCTCTTGGTGCACCAAGGCAGTCTGGCTTCTGTTCATGGTCTGAGGCAGGGTTGTTACTGGGAGGGAAGGGCTGCCAAATGCAGATGATCCGTTGTTACCTGTTGCAAATAATGTCTGTGCTGGAACCAGTAACCTAACGGTTGTTGGTGGGGCAAGACCCAGGGCTGTGGGTTTTATTCTCCACAATGAGGGACAACTTTTCCAAGGTTATTTGGATTTAGAGGATTGTGTTGTCAAATATACTCCTTAGTGGTAGTAAAGGCATCACATCTATTGTGAGATAGATTTCCTAGGCTCTAGGGCACTCCATTAGAAGTTGGACAGTCTTTATAAGTGAGAGCCAAGTGTAGGGCAACCAAGTTGCTTATTTATCCTTAGGTTAGGAGGTTATAAATGCCTCGTTTGCACTAAAGCACAGAAAACTCCTTTTTGCCCATCTCACCCTGGGAAGCCCCGTCTCCTTCCCGAGCTGCAGGGAGCAATGGGTGCGATCGCGCTGCCCGCTCGTTTTGCCTCTCCTGGGAATCCACATCACCAGTTCACGGTGTTCCCAAGTTTAAGTGTTTGAATTTACGACAAGAAGCTCTCCACATCCACCCAGACCTAGCAGAGGCCCGTGCGAAATGGGACAGGGAGGGGAACTGGGGGACTGCTGCTGTACCCATCCCAGCACCGCTGCTCCGTTGGAGAGCTAACCAATTCCGGTTCTCCACCTCTCTTCTAGGAAGCTTGAATGTTTACCTGCGGTTGAAAGGTCAGACTGCGATAGAGAACCCTTTGTGGTCTTCAAGTGGAAATAAGGGGCAGCACTGGAACCAAGCTCGTGTTAATATAAACCCCCCGACTTCATTTCAGGTAATGGCTTGTGCATCTCTTCACCGTGCACAATCACTGCACGCCGGGAACGGGAGTATTCGGGTTTCAGAGAGGCGGGAGGGAAACCTGTGTACGCTGACCCTTTCCTTCTGACACAGGATTTCACAGCTTCATTTCAGTGCTGAGAGCTGCTTTATGGACAGATAATTGCTCTCCTTGCTGTAAATAGGTGAGCACCGTAGAGCTTAATAATGCACAATTTAATGGCAGAACAGCAGCTATTTGCTTGACGACAAAATGTCTTTCAGTTATCAGAAGATGCTGTTAGCCGATATAAAACATTTTTATTTTGGATTGGCCACTGGAATACATAATTACCTCCTGTGAAATAATTTTTAGCATCCATGGTGTAGTGCCTGTGTTAGAGGTTTCTTGAAATATGTGAATATTCCGCAGAAAAAGGAACAATCTCTGAGCTTTTGCTGAAAGGGACCGCAGCAGCAGCGCTGCACAGAGCTGCACAGAGCTCCTGGTACGGCAGAGCTGCGCACCGCGTTCGCCAGGCCCGTGCAAGTTCTGACAGGTTTACACACATTTCGGTTTTGGTTTGACAGTGAGATGCTGATAGACTATTATGGGCAGTTCTCATTCACGCTGTGAGCTGTTTGTAACTGGAACAGACCCAAAAAGGCAGCTGCCGCGAGAAAGCCCTCGCGTGTCGGAGGCTGGGAGTGCCGGTGTGGAAGAGGGGAGTCACAGGCTGTGCCCTGTGGTGCCGTGTCCTCCCGGCCCCTCCGGCCCCTCTCTGTAACCTCTCTGTAACCTCCGGCTCCCCTGGGGAGGATGATGGCTTTTGGGAAAAAGAGTCATGCAGTGCAAAGCCAAAATCGCTACCTAAAACGTGCAGCTTGGGATTCACTTTACAGATAATTACTGATCCTGACTCTTTGTTTTTATTTCCATGCGTGAGAGGCAATGACAGAAGAGAAATCATTTGGCATACGCGATCGCAGAAGCATTGCATGGGGGGAAATTAGAGGAAAACTGAAGGAGAGGGATATATGAAGTACAGTGTTACATGATGTTGGAGTGGAACAAAGTGGCAGAATTGGGGAGGAAGAGTGCAGAGAAGAGGGATGCATTAAAGTATCCCCAGAGCATGGGGCCAAGTTGAAGGGAGCCGATCAGAGGGGGTGAGCTTGGCGTTGGTGAAGTCAGGGTAAATCCAAGAAGTCTGAACAGGGAAGGAGAGAAAAATGATTTGGTGTCCGAACGTAATAAACAGACTGGTAAAGGGAGAGAAGAGATGGCTGGGAAAGCTGAAACCAAAGTGATCACGGTTGTGTCTGAGAGGGATTCCTGAGCCCTGGCCAGGCTTCAGCAGAAGCAGGAGAAGGATGAGGACATCAGCTCCGGGCAGAGAGATGCGAAGGATTTGGCACCAGCAATGAAGAGGAGTGGAGAAGAGTGATAGGGTGCAAACCTAGGGTCACCTCATCAGCATGGAGAGGAGGGCATGGGTTTGGGTGGAAGGGCAGGCTGGGGGGCACGGGGCAGCCGGGGTGAAGCATCGGCAGAGCAGCCGACAGCTCCCGGTACCCGGGTTGCTCCTTTCACGGTGGAGTCTGAGCATCGGCCCTTGCATGGGGCCCCGTTGGCCTTCAGCAGAGTTACGGGGGTGACTTCTGCTACTGGTGCACCTCACTGGCATTGCTTTAAAACCATATTCACTGGGGCCACCAGCTGGTACACAAAATGGAAGCTCCTCTGCTTGGCTATTTTTCACCTTTTATATTGTTGTGTTTAACGGCTTCAGCATAAAATGAATGTAAAGCCGTGAAGCTCTGCACAAATATAACAAATAAATGTCAGAGTGGTTGGAACCTTAAATTACATTTTAGCAGCTCTTGCATCAAACAAGTAGGAAAGAATATAAACCTCCCAGTTAAATTTAAGGAGAGTGAATTGGAGTGAATCTTTGCAGTAAAACAGTACACTGACACAGAAATTAGAACTTTTTATAGGTTAATTTATATGAGTAAAAGTGTAGCCCAGATTTGTTTTATACCTTCCCAGTCCCTGTGATATATAGCAAAGCTTCAGTCGTGAAGAACTGAGAGGACTACAGTGCTTTGAATCAGAAAAAGTATTGCATAAAAGCTGTCTCAGTAAGATATTCACTTGTTAAGTATTTTTAAAGAATAAACACCAAAAAAGAGAGAGCACATGGAAGTGATACATTGCATGCTGGCATCTAGGAAGGTGTCAGGTTTAGTTCAGATTTGAGCAGGAGCACTGCCACCACCTTCAGCTGTGCTTTCCTTGACACCTTCTTGTGTCAAAGACTTTTTTTTTTTGCAAAAGATGCACCGATCTGCCCTTAAGTAAATGACCCTGCGGGACCACGGAGGGTTTCAGCCCCTTGCAGCAAATGTAAGGGTTTACACCCACATCATCCCCCTGCGCGGCTGGGTTCATTCATGAGGCTCCTCTCTACTTATTAGAAGACTGACCAGGAAGGTAAAATCTGTCTGAAATCCTGTTGAAGAAGCCCAAGCTGAATCCCCCGGAGACACTCAGAATAAATCTGAATGCTCTATAGGGGCTAATTTCCAATTCCCCTGTCAAGAGAGCAGAGTGGCCTTTGCCATAAACGTAAGCCCCTCTATTCTCCTGCTAAATGCAGTATTTTTAACAACAGCTTTGTAAAGTCACGGCCAGGCGGATAATCGGGTTTGCGGGATGCTGATAGGGAATTCTGATCATCTGGCACCTCCTGCACATCGCTGTGAACTGCAGGCTGGATCGTGCTCCGTGCCTTGCCAACACTCATCTGCGGTGATTTGTTCTGAGCATGTGGCCAAGCTGGCTAATAACAACCCATCTCTGAGGCCCATAAACACACTGCCAAATGCAGATTTTAATTAAATGCTGGCCGTTGTATTTGTATAGAGTCCTTTTGTCTGGAAACAGTGTTTTTCATTATCGGGAAAGATTTGACTTTAAACTCCATTGACTGGCGATACGCCCGCTGCCAAGGAGCGGGAGGGCAAGCTGTGCTTTGGGGGAGAGGAGAAGACACTTTCCTCTCAAGCTGAATACTTCCCATCGTCAGAGGTAGAGTTGAAAAATTGTCAGAGGGATAATTACTTCAGACATTGTTTTCAGACAACAGGATAAATTATGGAAAAACTTACTGTTTTCCCAATTACAGTTCCCCATTGCATTAATATCCACCTTGTTATAGTAATTAACCTACAGTGCTGCACTTCAATAAAATACCGATGGAGTCTCCTGCTCCAAATGCAGAGCTTTCACCTTTATTTAGTGCTCCCAGCACAGACCTTGCCACCTGGCTTAGGAGACACCAGGCAGGCTGTAAAGACGTGCCTTATATTGCCAGCTTACCGCTGCTGCAGGGCCAGGCACCTACTGGGGATGCTCAGCTTAGCAAAAGGAGGAGATGCGCCTGTGGCCAAGGTTGAGGGACATGCCCTCCACGGAAAGGCGGAGCAGAGCATTGCCTGTGCAATGCAATGTCTGGTGGCATCGCTCCCCAGTTCAAGAAGGACAGGGTCCAGCAAAGGGCTACAAAGATGAGGAGGGGACTGGAGCATCTTCCTTATGAGGAAAGGCTGAGGGACTTGGGGCTTTTTAGTCTGGAAAAAAGAAGGCTGAGGGGGGATCTTGTCAATGCTTATAAGTCTTTAAAGGGAGGGTGCCAGGGGATGGGAACAGTCTTTTTTCAGTAGTGCCCAGTGATAGGACAAGAGGGAACGGGCACAAGCTTGAACATAGAAGTTCCACCTAAACATGAGGAGGAACTTCTCTGCTGTGAGGGCGGCAGAGCAGTGGCAGAGGCTGCCCAGAGAGGTGGGGGAGTCTCCCCCTCTGGAGCCATTCCAAACCCGCCTGGACGCCGTCCTGTGCCACTGCTGGAGGTGCCCCTGCTCTGGCAGGAGGTTGGACTGGATGATCTCCAGAGATTCCTTCCAGCCCTGACCAGTCTGTGATTCTGTGATCCCGCACCGTTGTGATACGGTCCTTGGGTGACATGCATCCGCCTGGACCAACTACCAGACCCCTGTGATTTACAGGGTCATCTTCTGCTGCCCTGAGTGTTTACTAGTTGTTTATAATGAAAGGTATTCATGTCAAATGAGCAGCTCTGGTTGAACTGTGTTAATGAGCAAAGAAACGTCGGAAGCTGCCAAAAGAAGAGGCTCGGATTTGTGTCCTGCTGTAAATCAGTTTTTTAGCGAGCCCATCTGAGTGCCCCAGACATCTCCCTGATGCAGTTAGATCATTATGAAGTGTAATTTAAGTATTTTGCTCCAGATGGAATTAATATTTTTTTTTCAAATTGACTCTACCCCCAAGAGTTAATGTCTCCATTAGTGCCACAGCACGCCCTTATAAAATTCATTGAATTTCATGCATATATTGTTACAGATTAAAGTTAAAAAACTTGTCATCTAAGTTAACCCAAAATATTTCAAAGGACTTGGGGGGGAGGGGGAGGGAGAAGGAGATAACTGTGCAAATGCTGCTGCTTGGGAAATATATTCCTTACATAATTCCTTCATCTCTTTAGAAAGGCTTTGAAGTTTTCTAGTGAATAAATTTCTCGCAACACAGAATGAGACCACTCTTCTGCAAAGCTAATTAAGCAGCAGTATGGCAGAACAGCATCACATCGGGTTTGGGGAAGGAGAGCGGATAACTTTGTTTCTTTAGCACAATAGTAATCCTTAGGTAATAACGAACAGTATGGCAATAGTATCACTGACCTTGCAACAAGCCATCCATCTCCATACAGGAACCCTTTCCTCTCCCAGCTGTAGCAGTTGGGGTTTCAGACTAGGAATATTTGAACAGAAAGTGATTAATAGGACCGTGAAATCACAGGCATCCGTTTAGCAGAGGTTGAAGTCTTAAAGAGGAGTAAAATCTCTACCCTGCCCCTCTCCGTGAGAAAACACATCACAATGTCCTCTGATAAATATAAAACCATTCCTAGAAGGGATCAAAGCTTCTAGGCATGGTGATGAGCCGCTAAAAGGGGCGGGAGAGAAGCGGGGCCGTCACTGGCAACAACTCCTCTGGGGCAGGAGATCTGGGAGGTTGAAATTCACCAAGGTGATCACAGGACATCATTGTGGGATCTCAGGGGATCCAAATTACTTATGAGGGTGGTGAGCCCCTGGGGCAGGTTGCCCAGAGAAGCTGTGGCTGCCCCATCACTGGAGGTGTTCAAGGCCAGGTTGGACGGGGCTTGGAGCAACCTGGGCTGGTGGGAGGTGTCCCTGCCCAGGGCAGGGGAGTTGGATGAGATGATCTTTAAGGTCCCTTCTAGCCTAAACCATTCTATGATTCTGTGAATCACAGGTGGTCTCTTCCCCACCTGCCACCAGGGTGCAGATGAGTGAGTCCAACATGGGAGATGAGGTGGGAGGGACTGGTTGGGCCACCTTCAAGAGCCAGAAACCTCGGTTTACTGCAGATTTTTTCTGGCTCCTGTGTGTCTTCATGAGGTCTGTGGTCGAGTGGGTGCTTGGTCCTCCAGCACCTTGCAGATGCTGTTCTTCAAGCTGTACCTCTGCTGTTCACTTCAGGTGGCAGGAGTTTCTGGGGAAAAAAAAGACCCCAAATCTTTTTAAAAGTTTTCCTCCATTTAATCCTGCTGTTTGCTGCAGGAATATCATACTTACATAAATACATTACAGTTAACATAGTGGTGAAGCTGAGCTGGAGACACCAGGTAGACAACTGGGCAGACAACGAGCAGCTCTGCTCTTTTTCAGCTCATTTTGAAGTGCAAAAGCCTCCATGGCTCCCACATCCTCTGTATTCACCTTACCAGTACATGTGAACTCGGTTGCATTTTTTCTGCACGATGGAAAGTGTTTGTACGTCATTCCAAGCCCATCCATGTAGTTTAACGCCATGCAAAATGCAGCTGAAGGTTTTCCAGTCATCACCCTCTGATCTGCTGCTTCTTTATTTCTTCGTAGCTCATATTTGAAGGGATCCGGGGCCCTGGCATCGAAGGTGATATTGCTATTGATGATGTATCAATTGTGGAAGGAGAGTGTATGAAATCAGACCAACCGGCCAACAGTAAGTGCCTCTTCCGTACTGGGCAGGGGGGAAGCAAATTACTTCTCATGGTTATAAATTTGAGACATCTTCTGAAATGGATTTTCTCCAGGAGAACAATACATTGTTCGGTTCAGCTGGAGAGGCTTAAAGTGAAAATTTTTCCTTGGAAGCAAGCTCTGGAGTCAAAATGTCTTTGCTGCAATGGGAAGATGCTGGTTTAGCAGTGATGGGAGTGAAAGGCTGATGGGCTTTCAGCAGCGGCGAGAGCAGGGGCTGCACTGGGTGGTGGGGCTGGGCTGGGCGCCTGTGGTTCGAGGTGGGCGGACAGATAAAGCACCTTTTAAAAAAATGTTTGGGACTCCAAACAATATGAAGGGAATGAATATCAGCATTGGGATTCCCTGTGGACCTTGTTTGATCTCTCCACCCCGACGTGTGCATTACAATACAGACCATAACTACACAGCCAGGTGGTTTTTCATCCCAACGTCTCCTGCCTCCTGCATTTGGCGAGTGCTATTCTCAGCCCCTCTTTGTAGGAGGTGACCTTGCAGAGCGCTGTCCCTACAGAGACCAGGGCTCTGCCAGGAGAGGTCAGTGGCACTTGGTGTGATGCCGAGTTGTCTTCCACCCTGTTGTCCTCTGCGTTGGTGTGCAGACAGGTTATGGTGGCCAAGCCTTTTATCTTCTAAGCCTTGTAGCAATGCTGACTGTGTCTGGGCAGCTCTTTAATTCTACCTTTTTCCCCCCTTTTTGTAGATTTACGATCAGGTGCTGTTGGGACATTAGCGCATATACGACTTATCCCAGTTATCATCCTCATGTCTGTCTTATGTCATCAGAGGTGACCTTATCCTGGCAGAGGCTACAAAAGATTCACCAGGCACTGGCATGAAGAAAGAGTCTTTGTAAAATGGACATTTAAAAACAAACTACCAAAGATTCCTCCACTGACTGACTCAAAAGTTAAATAAATACATAAATAAATAAAAAAAAATAATTAAAAAGCACTGGGGACATAAAAGGCATCACAGGAGTGTAACTCACTATGAACCACGCGTGAGAACGAGATCTGGCCTAAGTAAGGAAGAGACCTTCAGGTGCTTTTGTGGTCAATAATGAATACAGCATCATCTGGTTGAACTCTCGGAAAAGAGCTATAGAAACCCTTGTCAAAGCACAAAGTCATGGCTGGTTTTGTTTCAAATGAATAGTTTGCTTGTTACCATGGAAACCTAATGGCCTGCCAAAAAAAAAAAAAAAAAGGAAGGCAAGAGAGAGGAAATAAAAACAAAAACAGAGAGAGAGAGAGAGAGAGAAACACCTCACTGTAAACAGGGTATGTGAAGAGCTGGCATTCATTTTCCCTTCAAGAAGGTTTTTAGTATAGAGGTAAATAAATGTAGGCCCTTTCTACTTTGGCTGTCACCTCCCCTAGAGAATAACCCTAAATCAGAGCTGTTTTAAGACATTTATGTTTCATTTCTCATGGCTATGCTTGATAACTGTATGCTGTCTCCTTTTGCATGCATTACTATCCAGGATGTGCGACCTGGGCTTACATATTACACAGGCTTATCGGAGTTTGCTTGCGGCCACTCGAACACCCCTCTCCCCTCCCCAACTAAGTCATCTGTTCTAATGAAGTGAAGAAACCAAACCACCGTCTTTTATAAATTGCCATGGAAACCAAGTGCCTTCAATGAAACAAGCCTGATTTAAAAAAAAAAAAAATAAAATAAAAAAAATAAAATAATAATAATAATTTCAACACAGAAGCTTGCACTGCTAAAATGTGGTTTGTGCAAACTATTTTCTGAACAAACTACGGAGCCTGGGTGTGCAGACTGCAGGCAAGGAGACGGAGCCGCTTCTGGAGATGGATGGACCTAAGCTGCTGCGTAAGCCCTTTCGGATGAGATATTTGTTGTTTAACCTTCCAGACAGCCATGGCCTTTCAGCTTATTATCCATTAGAAAATAGCTTCCGTTGGTCCTGGAAATGGGAGCAGCACTCTTTTTTTTTTTTGTTGTTGTTGTTGTTTTTTCAGGTTATCGAGTGGGTCAACCAGAGGAAAAGGTTGTTAAGATACACTTAGCGCAGAAGGTGGTAAAACACAGGAGTGATTTTCTTACTCTAAACCTCCCTTTGCGAGGCAGTCGGCCCCGGCGGGACGGGGAGGCGTACGTGGGGGACGGCAGCGCCTACCGAGACGCCGCGCGAAGCGCAGAGCTCTCTGCCAACCTGGCGCCGGCCGAGCGCCGAGGGTGCCGTGCCTCTGCCCTGCAGCCAGACTCTGAGCAGATCGCGAAAGATTAGTTTGTTATTGTAGCGAAATTTAAAAAAAAAAAAAAAAATTAAAAAAAAAATTAATCCACTTTTATAACAGAAAAAATAAAAGCTGGACAAATGGTTTTGAGCTACCCGAACACATACCTTTAGCCAGCTGGTTTTTCCACTGCATTGTAAAGTTCCCTTACAGTTGGTTATGACAATTTGAAGACCTTTTTCCTTAAATTATCTCACTTTTAACTTCATTTAAAAAAAAAAAAAGACTTTTGTCTAAAGAAGAGTATTATTATTGTAATTATTATAATTATTATTATTATTCTGTGTCCTCTCGACACCCTAGGATTAAAAAGAAAACCTGATATGCAAGTAATTGGAGTACAAACATGAAAACAAACAAACAAACGAGTATAACATTTGCAAATATGAGTATAAAAAAGCACAACGAGATGCAGTAAAACAATGACAAGGCTTGATTTTTTTTATTCTGTAGAGAAATGTTTGTGCAAATTCAGTAATTCAACTGAAGAGATAATTTTACAGCTATGTTCAATAAAGCCTCTTTCCAGGTAAGGTATGCCAAGTGGTATGTGTGTTTGTTGAGCAATGTGCCCCGGATGGGCGCGACTGGGATGGCTTGGTTTTTCCCCTGATAAACTGGTGTTGTCTGAAGATATGATGGTCCATACCGGTGATGCTCGGGGGCTGGCGCTTTCTGAGGATGCTGCTGGCTCCCTGGTTTGTAGGCAGTTTGTGGTGTCTGTAATCCCTGGCACCGCAGCGGGAAGGCTGCTCTGAAGACAGTGGGAGCTCTGAGTCTGGATGGACTGTGAGGTTTGACATCCTTAAAAAAAAAAAAAAGCAAATTTCCCACAGGCAAGCACTGGATTTTAATTGTGGACGGAGGACCAGGTCAGGTATGGTGAGACCCTGATGGAGATTTTTGCTTAGGAGGTTGGTGTGTCTCGTAATTCAGGATTTGTGAAAGCCAAAACTTCACATGCGCCTCCTCCCGCTGATCTCTCGTGAAAGCCACAGAACTGCGGGATCATCCGAGAGGCTTCTCTGCGGGTGCTTTTGGTGGGAATGTCTTCGGAGGGGCCAGCGTTGCCCAAGGCTGCTAGGAGCCCTGCCAGAAGTGGATGCGCGGGGTTTTTGCAGCAGACTCTCCTGTTAATGTTTCCTATTCTGTCTCTGACCATCGTGCGATCTGGGTGGCTCCTTTTTCGCTCGTTTTCTAGAGGGAGCAACAGCGGCAGCGATGCTCCCGGCTGGAGCTGGGCTGGAGCCACAGCAGGCACTGCACGAGGTCCCCGCCGTGCAGGGACGGGCATCTCTTCGCCACGCTAAGCTGATGACAAGCCTTGTTCTGCTGTATTTTATGACACCCAGTTTCACTGTCCTGAGCAGATGAAACGGGGAATATGGGGGGAGAAAAAAAGAGTGGCCATCTGTCAATCATTTTGAAGTAAAACGTGAAACATTCCATTTCTTTTCAAATGTTTTCCCATTTCTCCCTCAAGTTTTTCCCTTCCAAAAATAGACTCAAAGTAAACTGAAATTTGGACGCCCGTTGATCAGCACAGGGCAGGAGAAGCATCTTTGAAGTGATGGGCAGAGCTGGGGCCGCAAGGCTGATGGCAGCAGCATGACGGGGGACTCCGTGGGAAGGGAGGATTTGGAAAGCACCCTGCAATGTCCTCTCATGCTGGGGCAGCTGTGATGAAGTCAGCCTGAAGATAATGAAATGGAGATCGCGCTTGCTTGTTTAGATCCCAAGCTAAGACTGCAAACTGAAATCTGTACTTCCTCTTTGTATTTTGATTTTTCTTTCCCTTGGTCGAGGACCATGTTGAGTATCTGATAAAGGTTTTCGATTGACAGCCAAAGATCACAGTCGTCTTCTTTCGGGGCAGGATAATCTGTTTGTCCTGAAAAGCCTAGATCTTTGTGAGACGGGAAATTTATTTCCCATGCCCATTTCAGTTTTACTCTGCTTGCTTGGATGCAGAAGAAGGTGCTAAGAAAAGCTGATTTTCTCTTCCAGATGTTGATTTAGGAGTAGTGTAATCTTTACATTCCTAATGTGAGCTGCTGAAAAGGCAATGTGATTTGACTTTGGCTGGGCCATGAGCAAGAAGTACAGACCGAGATATGTGTTTCCTAGTCTTGATTTTATTTTTTTTTTCCTTTTTCATTTTGGTGTGAAAATGAATGTAATATTTGTAAAATTTTTGGATGGACAATCAAAGGAAGTTTGAACTGGCAGCTTTTCTATGAAATTTGCTAAATGATTCGGTTCTTGGGTGTCCAAGCTAGTTATGTTTCTGATGGATTTTTAAATTGGACATCAAATGCATAATTGTGCAAATGTGGACTTCACAGTGACTACAACAGTTGGCTGTTGGGATCAGGGACCATGATTTCTCTGTGGGTGGTTGTAGGAGTTAGCTGGGTGTTCCCAAGGCAGAGGTAGGTGGAGCCCATGATAAACTTTCCAATTGTTTTAAATTCTTTCTCAGGATGATCTGGCAGAATAAGGACATTATTAGAGTCCTCCCCTTTCATAGCGTCCAAAAAAGCCACGCAAGTTCATTTCTGTCACAAAGCAGGTAGCTCAAATGTGAAATCCCATGTACAATTACAAAGTACTTTGATCTCACTGTGCTACCAACCCAGTGCTTCAGCTGGCTCCAACCAGGCTTGAATCCTGGATGGGATGCAAAGGAGAGAGAAAAGAGCATAGACTGAAAGGGGCGAACACATTACAAACCACACTACAAATGCACAAGTACGATTTGAAGGCAGGAGCAGGTCCTTGAGAGCCCATCCAAGTGGCAATGGCTTATGTGATGAAGGCATTAACTAGTGGAGGATCTTTACGCTGAGCTCATCTCATATCAGCCAGTTTTTGAAGACTGTTATCTAAGGGTGTGCTACTGTCAGGCCCACAGAAATCCCTGGACATGTGAATTTTCCTCTTAATCTGGGAGAGGAACTGCTGGTTCACCCAAACGAGATGGAGCTGCAGCTGCCAGTCCCGGAACGGCTGCAAGCCCCATGCACAAGGACCAACCTCCGCTGATGCTGGAGCAGTTTCCTTGTTGACACCCAGCGCTTGAATCTCTGCTGCATTCACTGGTGTAAATGGCGGAATTTAGTTTGAACAGCTTTTGGAGCAATTAGGATCCCCAAACTTTAAAACTGAGTTAATCAGTTAAAACATCAGCTTTTTGTTCACATTTGGTCTCTCTTTTACTGCCTTGTAAGGTCAGCGAAATCCCTTTGTAGTGAGTAGTTTAGTCAGAATGATCTACTTTCTTTCCACCCTTAGTGGAAGAGGTGTACCTGGCTTTATTTTTGGAGGGTTTACTCGGTAGTAATGTTTTTTCATGTTTCAAAGGATAATTGAAACTCTCTTCCTCCCTGAGAAGAACTGTGATCCATCAGAAGAATTGCTTTCTAGAGCAGTTCAATAAAAAAGATACAGTTTGGTATTATAAGCACTCTCTGTCTATGTATGCTAATAAAGAGATCGGGTGCCATCTGGATTAATTCTTGTCTTTTCCCATAAACCTATAAAAAGCTATAAAAAAGCTTATTATTACATTTCTGATTTTTTTTTTTTTTCCCAACAAAGCAACACCACAGGAGTGCGCTCCCTCGTTTACGGCTGCCCCACCATGATGCCAGTGTCCGTCTCAGCAGCACAGGAGGAATTAAACCAGCACATACTAACCATTTGATTTTCCTTCATGCAAGGGAGCTTGGCAACCCACAGCTCACACAATCCTGCAGTCATGGGACCTTCGGTCTTCAGAAGTTTCATGTCATCTTTTCCTTAACCCTTTCCCCCTTTTGGCTGTTTTTGGTCAGGCTACAATATCTCTCGATTAGAAAAGATACATAATAATAAATAGGAGCTGTCATTAACCCAAACACAGGATACTTGGGATAGTACATCCTGGTGTATCATACTAAAAAGTAACATAGTTTGCCTTTTGATCTGTCAGATTATAGAGCTTGTACTATGTGCTTTATACTATGGGAAGGATGTTGTATTTTCTCCCCAGAACCCTACATCCAAGGTCTGTGAAGATGTCAGCCCACTTAGACTTGCGTGCTCCTGGAGAGCAAGTCTTTCAGAGGTTTCAGTGGTGACACTAAGACTTTCCTTTAATAAAAGATTATCTGCCCATATGTCTCAGAGAAGTAGTTGTGTTATAATGAGACTACTCAAATGAGAACAAACTGATCGAGTCACCAGAGAATGACACAGTACATGTAGGGAGTAA